CAGCTAGAAGGTAGAAGAGGGAGAGCTAGGAATTTCCTGAATTCCTGCAGAGCCCGCGTTTTTGACATTCGGGATCCAAGGAAAGGGCAGTCACAAGGAGAAATGGGGGGTGTTTCTGAACAGTCATGGGTCTCAATCTTCTGCAGCAGCAGGGTCACTTGGAGAGCCTGTTAAGCCACAGACTACTGATCCCCACTCCTGGAGTTTCTGGGGAAGTGGTCTGAGAATTTGCATTTCTAGGAAGTCCTGAGGTGATACTGAAACGGGTCTTGAAAATCAGGATTGGGTTCCCATTCCCCAGGTGTTTAGTTTTGAACACCCAAGAAACACAGTGGCAAGTCAACAAAAAGTAAATCTTATTTAACCACAGGACATGGAGAGGAGAGAGAGAGAAGGGGCTGGGGCACTCCTTGGGAGAGGAGGGGACCCAGTAGAACTTGTGCCCCTGGGAGTGGGGGTGCCCCGCCCCTTTATAGGTTTCAGGTTTCCTTTTCTTCTCATGCTCCTCCCACCATCATGCCCAGGTGACCAGCAGGTGGAATGACCAAAGGTGAGAAAGGAGCCACCCAGGGCGCACACATTAAGAACCCCTTGCACTGGGAGGAGCAATTCCCTGGAAGGTCTTTCCAAAAAGGCCATTGAGTTAGTGCAGGAGTCAGGTGGTGTCTTCATTTCCTTTCACATTTACCCTGATGTGAAAGGGTCCTCCGGCTCCACACTGCCCCTTGGCTGTTCCTCCCTCGAACACTCTGCTGTGTTGGGCCTGGTCTTCACAGTTCACCCATTGCGTTACTCAGGTGGACTTTTTAAAGACTTGATCTTATTTTAATCAATTATTTTAACTTTATCCATTGATCTCTCATAAGCACACCCAAGGCCAGGCAGACCACAAGCAGCTGACACACAGCCTACACCTGAGGATGACTTCGGTAAGTGCCTCTTGAATTTTAAGGGGAAATCCACACGGGGTCCACGGCCCATTGGAGGGGCTCGGTCCAGATGGCTGGTGTCAGGGAGGCTGAGGACCAGCCTCAATGTTGGAAGCTGTGCACACCTTCTAATCCTACAAATCTCAGTTTTCCATGGGCCCAGTGAGTCCTTGGCAGAGTGCTCATCGTCCTCTGGGTCCACAGGGCTTGGTTACGGGTGTGGACTGCTGGGGGCGGGGGTGGGATGGGAGCATGACAGTGGCCTGGGAAGGACCTGGGTCCTTAATGCCTGGCACAGGTTTGCTGCCTCCAAATCCACCTCATTATATAGGTGAATGCTCCTGCCAACTCCAGTGTGTCCCGAGTACAGGGAGGACATTAGCTGCAATTCATATTCAACCAGAAGGTCGCCTGGGGACAGTCTCCCTCCAATGTTCCTCCTCCACAGAGAACCAACCAACCAAGTCCCTGTCATTTCTCAGGAACAAGAGCTTGGAGCTCCTCCCATTCCAGAAACAGTACATGGCTCCCAGGGTCAAGGTCTAAACACCCACCAGGGGCCTGGCTCTGTCCCACTGAGCCCCACAGTCTCCTCCTTCACACTCTCCCGCTCACCATCAGGTCTAAACACCCACCAGGGGCCTGGCTCTGTCCCACTGAGCCCCATAGGCTCCTCCTTCACACTCTCCCGCTCACCATCACCCAGGGTCAAGGTCTAAACACCCACCAGGGGCCTGGCTCTGTCCCACTGAGCCCCACAGGCTCCTCCTTCACACTCTCCCGCTCACCTACTGCAAGGAGAGGATGTGGCCCAGCAGCCACATCCTCTCCTTGCAGTAGCCCCGGCCTTGAGGGGTCAGAGAGTGACTCTTTCCCCCCCTTGGCCTCAGAAGCCCCAGGAGACATTCTCCCCTGAGCCTGGGAGGGGACGGGGATTTCACAGGGGCCAGGGATGGTCCATCATGAGACCCGACTCCAGCTGAGACGTGTGGGTCCCAGAGCTGCCCTCAGGGCCTCTCCTCCCGTCTGCTTCCAGATCCCTGGGATGATCCTTTTTACAGTGGTGCTCGCTATCTGTATTATCACAGTCTTAAGGAACAAAAATGCTCAGGTGAGTTGTGGGCCTCCTGAGTGGGTGGAGAGACCCCCCGCTAGGTGAACGCTAGAGGGGTCTCAGAGCCTCCTCCCTGCCCGGGGGCAGGAGGGCCCTGACACCTATGGGCTCAGCACCTGCCTGTCTCCTTTCATCCTTAGTGATGTGTCTTGTGGGTGCCTGTTTTTCAGGTCAATGTGAATGTCAGAAGTGACTTTCCAGGATTCCCACCCGACTCCAAGCCCCCTACATACAAAAAATGAGATCAAATATGCAGATCAGCAAAAAGAAGACCTGCCTCTTCTCTGCCTCCATAACCTGATTCCTTTCTTTCCTGACAAGCTGAGGGCAAGGTCTCCCCCAGCTCACACCCTGCACTGCACCCTTGGATTCAGCCCAATGAGTCACACTGTTCTTCTGCTAAAGGGAGAGGGATCTTACATTAATTTTAGCACCAAGGTCCTCCTTAACGAGTGTGTTCCTGTACACTTATGGGGGGACATCTTTGTGCAGGCTTTGTGCAAACATGTGTCTGTAATTCTCTGCCTTGGGCTTGTGGGTGAGGGGGAAAATATCTAGGCACCCATCTTCTTCTTTCAATCATCCATTCATTAATAAATATGGATTAAGTATCTGTTTGGTGTGTTGAGGGTAAACATCATGACCATGACATTGTCCTTGACCTCAAGGGACCTCTGGCCTCAAGAACACACAATAGCGCCCACCATGCATATCAGTCAAGTTTTTATTAGTGTAATAAAAGGCCCGAGACAGGCCACCTTTGGAGAAAGGAGAGATCAGCTAATAGTTGTGAAGTTTGAAGGGCCTGGCAGCCACACGGGCTCTGCTGTAAGGAGAACATCATGGCAAATGGTGCTGGCAACCATGGGGGCCCTTGTGGAAGACAGTGGTCCCTTCTGTTACCAGTTGCAGATAGGACTGGGTGGACACAGTGTCCGTGGCTCCTTTTATAGCTCCTCTCCTGCAAGCACCACCACGAGAGGGGCCCAAGAAGTACTTCTTGCCCCAAAGGACCTGAGGGACTCCCACCAGACCCCACCATCCACAGCTCCCACCTCGACCAATAGCACCAAGCTGGGGACCTAGCCTTTATCCACAATCCACGCATGGGGGACCCTCCACCCCTCCAAGCCACAGCAGCGAGTGAACTAGTTTCTCCAAAGGTGACAGCTGGGCAGAGTGCACAAGGACCCCAGGGATGGGTGTGAGTGGACCTGGCCGTGATGGACGAGGGGTGAGGAAAGCAGAGAGCAGGAGGGGCCTGGTGGAGGAGCCAGCATCTGAGCGGGCAGCAAGGCTGGGGGCGTTTCCTCGGGGTAATGAGGAGCCGTGGGACAACATGCAATTGTCAAGGACAATGATCAGTCCTCCCTCTGCTGTCACCACTGATGCCACAGAACCCAAGCCTGGGAAATGGCTCTGGGAAGGAAAGCTTCCAGAGCCAGGAGGCTGCTACCTGGTTCCTCATAGAGGATGAGGCCTGATCCCAAGGGCACAGTGACTGCTGCCTGCCTTCTTTTTTTTTTAAAGATATATATTTTAGTTCTAGGTGGACACAGTGTCTTTATTTTACTTTACATGGTGCTGAGGATTGAACTCAGTGTGTCACGCATGCTAGGTGAGCGCTCTCCCTCTGAGCCACAGCACACTGACTTCAATATTTACAAACACAATAACATTCGTATTGGTAACCATGGTGACCATCTGACATCCGAAAAGTGAATTCTGATGAGTTTTAGGTATGACCCCTAATGTGCCAGTTTTCAGACTTTCCTGCCCCAGATGCACTGCAAGATGTTTTGGTTTCTGTTTGTTTAGGTCACTGAGTACAAAATGCCTTGACTCTTGTAAGTCGATTTAGCCTCTGAGTTCCTCTGAGAAGGGGCTTCTAGGTGTCCAGGTGTCTAGCATGCTGTCCCCTGTGCACCTGTGCCCTCTCTGCCCAGGGACCCTGGATGCCCATCACCTGGTTGGTAAACGTGGAGATCACAAGACCTCAGGTGGATTCCTGTTTCCCTTCCCCAGCCAACCTTTCATGGAGGTTGGAGTGTGAAATGGAGACCTTGTAAGCATCCTGGCTATAGTTTTGTGCCTCTTGGAAAGAACCCCTGGGAGTATTCTTCAAGAAGGGATGTTAGTCCACAAAGAAGCAATAAGATTTTAGGAAATAAAAATCACCACTGCACGAAACGCCATGGAGAACATGAAAATACCATGGCAGATGAGAGGGGACACATGGGGCAGGCACCGGGTGATTCTGCGAACAGAGGCTCCCTTGAAATTGTCCCTTTGCCTCAAGGGGATTTTCAATCCCTGGAATTAGGAAATCTCAGACAATAAAAGTAGATCTTGATAAAAGAAATATGGGGCACATCATTTCCTAGTTCTAGACCAGCCCTACCTGCATTGTTCTGCAAACCAGGATGCGAATACACTGAGCTCCTAAGAGGGGCCACGTCTCAGGCCATTCTCTGAGGGCTGGGCAACCATGTCCCCTCACCTCTCCTTCCTCATTGCTGCCTGAAGGGCTCCATCAGATTCCACACCATCTCCTTCTACAGATCCCTAGCCCTCGGCCCTGAGCCCTGACTGTGTTCCCAAAGCCTCCTTCCTGACAGTGTGGACCTAGACTTCACTGAGGTTCTGCCAACAGGGCTCACCTCTGGAGCGTGGTTCTTGGAGAAAGCACCTGGGGCTTCTTCGGACAGGGGGCACCAGGCATGACCCAATGACGCGCTGAAACCACCGTGGGGCTTGGGACATGCTTCTTGTGTGTCCTACACCTACCTCCCAGTATTCTATTCCTGCACCCTCCAGGGACCCCTCATCAACGCAGAGTGACAGGCGCCCATCCTGTGTATGAGGAGACTCTGTCTCTCTGCACCTTCCCACAAGCCATCCATCTGCAGGATTCTGGCCCCTCCCCTCCCCTCCAGAACTGCAGAACAGCACACTCAGTGTCTTTGAGAATCTGTGGCCCACTCCACACCTGGGCAGAGAACGCACAGACGTAAGGGGGCAGAGATGTCCCCAGGGTCATCAGCCAGCGGGGATCTCAGGCGGGACCTGCACCAGGACTCCAGAGGGCAAGTTTCCAACCTTATCTCACTGGCCCTCAACTGCATGTGACCCCCAAACCTCTGTCTCCTTAAAGCACCGCCTCCTGGCTCTGCCCGGCTTCCCCAGGCTCCTCTTCATTGTCTCCCATGAGCAGACCTTTCCCCCTCGGGCCTCAGGACGCTGCTCCCCCTGGTCTGCTTCTCAGGCCCTGGACCTGAGCCCCTCCCGTGGGCTCCCAGGAGAGTCAAATGGGCTGATCAATGTCTGAAGGTGCTGCCAAGTCATCCCACCCTGCAGACCCGAGCCCCAGGCCTCTCCATCCTTCCCTTTGGGAAGAGCCAGGGCTATTTCCTGGTTGCTTTGCCCACACCTGGAACATTCTGGGGAGCAGGAGGACCTGTGATAGTCCAGGACTGCCACAGGAAGATTTAGGGGGCAAATCCAGAACACGTCCTGTTCCTGTAAATAAAGTTTTATTGAAACACACCCTCTCCATTTGTTCACATGCTGTCCCTTAGTGCTCTTGAGCTACAACAGCAGAATGAATATCAAGACAGGGACCACAGAGCCTGTCAAGCTGAAATATTTACTACTGGGCCCTTGCAGAAAAGGTTCTGTAATCCCAGAGATCAATGATGATGATGGTGATGATGATGATGAAGCCCCTTCTTTGTGCACCAGAATCATGATTGTGAGTCACTGTCACTTCCTCATGGTGGGGATGAGCTGGTTGAGATGCACCAAACCCCCATCTGCCCTGCCTGCTATGACCAGAGGCTTCCTGGCACATGTCATGAAGACAGAATCTGTAAGCACACAGTTGTGGTGCAGGGAGTGGCCAGGGATGGAGGAGCCGGACAGACTGAATGCCTGCACTGGCTAATGCAGTGCAAACTAGGGGGCAGGTTGGGACATGGTTTGCGGACAAGATCTCCAGGAATTATGGGTGGATGAAAATGCATAGTGGGATCTGAGCCAGAGGGATAAATTGAAGAGAGCTCACAGGTTTCTGTCTCAAGAAAACTGGGTGACAGTCATGTTCTGAGATGGGGAAAGGTATAAGAAGTCTTCAGGAGAAAAGCCAACAGTCTAGTGATCTCTCCCTCATGAACTTATAGGAGCACAGAATCTCAGAGGAGGCTAAGAATTTAGAGAAAATTCAGTCTCATGTCCATTTGAGGCATGGAAATCCTCTACACTTGACCTTGAATTGCCATATCACATTTCTCAGAAGCCTGTTAGACCTGGAAATTGTCTGGCTCCACCCAGACCCACTGAAGTAGAACCTCCAGGCTGGGTCAGGCAATCTGTCTTTCCACAAGCCTCCCAGCCGATTCTGGAGCACACTCAGGTTGGAGAAGCACTGATCCATTGCATCTTCCCAAATGATTGTTTTATCTCATGTGAGCACCACTCTGGGTTGGATAAGTGTCCCCAAAGGCCCATGTGTTAAAGGCTTAGTCCCCAAGGTGGCACTGTTGGGAGGTGGTGGAACCTTTACCAGGAGGGGCCTTGTGAGGGCATCTTAATAACTCCCCACCTCTCAGCAGCTCATCCACTCCTGTGAGAGCTAACCCACCCCAAGAGGCCAAAACTAATCCCTTCACATAGGAATCCATGACTAGTCACTTCCCGCTAGCCCTCCTCTTAGAGGCCCCTCACCTTTCAATACAGTTACCTAGACAGCACGTTTCTAGCATGTGACATTTCAAACTCTATCCAAAGCTGTTCAATAAACACCTGGTATGTGGACACAATATTCTGGAAAACAAAAGGAAGCAATTAACATTTTTTGACTAGATCCCTGTCCTATTATTTCTACTCAATGCCGTTCCATCAGAATGATGTCACTTTGCATTCAAACAGTGCAGAGGAGGTTTATTTATTCTCTAGAAACAAGGAATCTGAAGAACCTGGGCTCAGGAGGTTTAGCAATTGCCCTAATTCACACTGACAGTCCTTGGTGCCAAACTGGATTGGAATCCATGTCCCTCTTCTCTAGAGCCCATGCTGGTTTGCCACTGTATCCTGTCATGGCTGCAGTGCTGGGCACAGGACACAAAGAAAGCACACAGTAGTGGCCATGAGGACGATGACGAGGCTCTTCTTTGTGTGCAGAATC